AAGAACTCCCTAGTTTAGATGATAGGCATCAAAATTCTAATGACTCCCCCTCAGATGTTGATAATGAGTAGTTGGAACATGAGAATATGGAGATTCTTGAAGAGGGAATTCCTGAATAAGAGGAACTTCATAAAGTTTTCTCCCCTAACTTTTCTGATTATGACGACAATGTTCATGAGGACCAAGAGATCTATGACTCCTCTGAATATAAAAGGGATGAAGATGGGACGAAAAGTGGAGATGCCTCCGGAGAAGGCGGCGAAAGTTGATGAGTCTTTTGGGACAACTTCGACTGCCAAACCCCCTCTCGAAGTTACTACTTCTTTATCTCAAGAATACCTGTAAAAATTAAAGAAGAAAAACCTTCCGAATTTTTGAAGCTGATAATGAGCACTCAAAGAAACTCTCATGAAAAATGTTCAATCTCTTCGACCATTTTTGGCAGAGAATCTTTCATCGAACCTATAGAGGATGTTCTTCACCAACTGAAGGCTAAAATTCTTGGTACGGATTTGTTTGCATCCATGGAGAAGGACCACATGATTTAAAATGAAATTAAGGGTTTAGTAAAGAAGATCGACATCCCTAGTTTCTCTCCTTCCATTGTTGGCTTTGTGGTAGAGTTTGGGCCTTTGCTTTATCAAGTCGTTGTTGACATTTCTCGTAAGAGTGATGCACAAAATAAATTTGTGACCTAAGCAAGAGGCTAGGTCCAAAGAGTGATAGCGGCTAGCAAATCCAAAAGTTGATTCTAAGATTTGGAGAAGTTTTTCCAAAAAGGAGACGAGGAGTTTGAGGCTTGTGATGCTAATTATCACACTCCAAATTTGACCCACCAAATAATCATTATGTTACTTTTTTTTTGATCGAGTTATTTATATTTTTGTAATATTCTATGGGGGGTTAAAAGTCAAAAAGGAGTGTATCAATATCTGATGGTCCACTAGTTTTTTAAAGAAATCTCATTTGCTTCCTCTAACAAGAAGAGGTGTATTTGTTTAGCATATTGGCCTATTTTTTCAAACAAATGAAAAGGGGGTATGTTTTTATTTTGATTAAAGAGGCCCAAAAAATTAAGCAAACTTATCCAATTTTATTTTGGTTAAGAGTTTTATCTTCAGTCGATTTTGAAGGAAATCTTTTTAAAACCCTTGGACCTTTCTAAATCAGAAAGGCTCGTGCGAAGTTAGTGGCCCGTTTAGAGTGCTATAGAAGGGGGGGGGGTGTTGTTTATATAAGGAGGTTATTGTAATTAAATCAAAAAGCCCATATATAAGTTTTTTTGTTGAGGCCCAATTGAAACAGCACGGCCTGTTTAATCTTTGTGTTTGCTTTAAAAAAAAAGGTTTTGTTTATTATTAATATTTTATTACTAATATACTAATATTGATTAAAACATATATATTAAACTCAATTTGATTTGTTTTATTAATTGATTAAAAAGAATATTTTTTTGTTTTACTAATTAAAAATGTTATTTGTTTTTGTTAATTAAAACTCACAGTCCAAACAAGGCTCATGCCCAATGTTTCATAACACTTACTGTTTAGATTGTAGAAAAGAAAACACACGAACAAACATTGTGCGCATCCGAGACTGAAACAAAATCAAATCCTGATTTTTTCTATTTTTACAAATCATATCCTAAATTTAATCTTGCAAGGACATAATCGAACGAAGACGGAAACTAATCAAAAATAAATTGAAACTTAAAATTGTACAACCAAGTCATAAACAGAATCAGAAACTTTACAAAACTAAATCATACAAATACATAAACAAAATTAAACTTAAGTAAAAAAACAACACCAATTTACAGACAAAAACAATTTTAGAATTCAAACCCTAATTAAATCATACAAAAAATTTACAGACAGATTAATGTGTTTCCTAAATTACAAACTCCTAAAAATGCTATAAAAACCAAAGAAGAAATCAGAAGAGAAGGGACAATTTTTGGACAAAATAAAAAAAAAATTACACTAAGGATTTTTTTTATAGTGAAGAGACAACGGAGAGGGTTTTTGTGCTTCAGCCGTCGAGCCACTTGTCTAGACCTAGGGTTTCAACATCTGAAACCCTATACTTCTTTGATCGTTGCTGCTATCCAACTCATATTCGTTCACCGAGACCTGGGAGTACATAAAGAAGGCGGAGAGATTAGAAATCAGAACTCTTGAAAGAAAACAAACACGAAACACATGCTAGGAGGTAACTATTACTTAACCTAAACTTTGTTTGGCTGTTAATTTTGGTTTTTCTGGGTGAACCACCGCCACGATTAGGGTGGAAAGGGTGGGGTTCTGGGTAGGCTCGTTAGGGTTTGTGTCTGTTGTTAGAGAGAAGGAGGATAGAGCAAACAAAGAGAAAGAAAAGATGAAATGAAAAAAAGATTTTGTAAAACGATAATATATTCTGTCAATGATCTAGTATATGTCGTCCTATTGTGTTACCGTGCTCCCTTCAATCATCACCGGATGTTTATCATCCAACAGTCTAAAACACGCGTCTCACCACATTACCATGCACTCTCTCACACGAAGTCCAAACGGACTCCCAAACTTTTAGGCCTGATCCATAACTATCGGCGCCCTCTTGTTTTTTTATTTTACTAGCCATGTACAAAAATGTATCCCCCTAAGCCAAGCGGACCAAGTCCAAAATCTAGACTTGGGCCCTAACTCCTAACACCCCTGTTTCGCTGCTCAAATCTAATATGCACCCCATACGCTTTTGGGCCTGAATTCAATATCTGAATTCAGACCCATGCTATTAACATCTTCCATTTTTACTACCCTAACAATATTTACACCCCCTGCGTTTTATTTAATTTTCTTTATTATTTTATTTTATAATTTTTATATTATATATTTCCTATTTTTTAATTACAATATTATATTATTTGTTTTATAAATCAAATAATATTTTTTCTGAACTCGTTCAAAATAATAATTTTTTATTTATTTATTGCATTAAAATATTTTTAATTATGCATTTAAATAAGATATTTTTTTACAATTAAATACATTAAAAAACATTTTAATCAAAAATAAAATTATCTTTCATAAATCAAATTAATCTAACAATTAATTTTCAAAAAGGGTTACGAGTATATTTGAATCGACTGCGCACTCCGTCTAATATCTCCGCTATTCATACACCTAGACTGAGTATGCGGGAAATCTGATTCCTCATAAGAGGATATGTAGGCTTACGACTAAAATTGTAACGAATTTCCTTAATAAAACATTAAAATCCTATTTCTTAAAAATTGTGCTTCTAACCCTAGTATTCTTGTGAACAAGGTAGATGAGGGGTACCTAACACCTTCCCTTCGTCTAAAACTGAGTTCAAAAATCTAGAATCTCTAACTTATTTAAGACTATCATTTATATTCTCTTCCTTGAAATAAAAATTAAGGGTGACGACTCTTAAATTTAAAACGAATTACAACGCTAATTTCCTCAAGTGAAAGCATTAAATTAAAGAACTGCATTCGAAAGTCAAGTTAGCTAAAGACAAACAAATTGAAATTTGAAGTGTGAGTTGGTAGCAGATGGATGATGAAGCTTTGGTCGGAGTCCAGCACTAGAAAAAAGTGAAAGACTTAGACGTGGAGATTAAGAGCCTTACTTCTGCCATCTCACTAACTGAGTGTCGACTGATGACAAAAATTTAATATGAAAAGCTTAAATCTTCTCTTCGTTTTTGAAGCTTATGTTTTTTCTTTTTTAATTTCTACTTTGTCTTTGAACATTTCGATCTTTATCTTTTAATATTTGAATACGCCACTTAAGACATTTTGACCTTAGATTATAACTCTTGGTCTTGTTTTATGGAAGCTTTAACTTCATTTTCTATATTTTTATTTCCTCCAAGGTAGAACTATATTTTTTCAAATACTCACTGTTCATTAGCAGGATTCGACCTTTCAACTTCATGCCTATTGTTTGTAAATGTTGGAATGACTTGAAAAAGTCCTTCCCAATTTCAGAATCATTTTTCCAATATAAAAAGATGTTTATGTGTTTTTCCTCTCAAACACTATTGCAGACCTTCCTTACTTTCTTTTAGTGTTTTTCAACACTAGTGTTTTTACTTTCAAACACTCAATTTTCCTTACTTTCTTTTAGTGTTTTTCCTTTCAAACACTCAATTAGTGTTTTTCCTTTCAAACACTCAATTTGTATATCTCGAACTATGATGCCAGATAAAAGAAATTGAACAAAATTGAAAGCTAAAAAACTACTTTATTCAAAAGACTACAATAACTTTTATAAAAGCTTACAAATTAAATGTAACTGAAATAGAAAAAGAATAAGGAAAATAAATTATACCAAACTTGAACAAATAACTCCTAAAAACTAGTTTACTTAGACCTATTCTTTTGCTTTAACTTTAAACCCAACACAAATTAAATTTTTGCAAAAAAATATTCTCTGAAAATAGAATATTGTTAGTTTTGCAAGAGTATGAGAGAAATTGCCTAATTGAAGTTATTAAGCCAGTGGGCTTTTATTGCTCTTTTTCCTCGCCCCAAAGTTGAACTGAAGGTGGGCTTTTATTTTCGTATTAACCAAACTATCCTACTATTTATTATCAAAAATATATATAATGAAGATCTAATTATAATTGTTTCACTAAGGTGAAGAAGAAAAAAAAGAAAGAATTAGAGAGAGCATGAACAGAAAGTTTTAACAAAGACTAACTTGTAACATTAGACACTGTCATTACATACATGATGTTGTTACATGGAAATGAAGACAAAAACTCCTAGATTCTGTCTTCATCATACTAGGAAACAAACAAACTAGGAAACAAACAAACCTAAGACATTAACATTAACCACCACAACATGCTAGCTAATTATTACAAACAAAAACAAACAACACACTTTGGTCACTAACATACTGTGACCAAATCAACCTAAAAAAACACTAGTTTGACACACACTGATGTTAGCTAGCATATATGAACACAAACATGATGATCATCGATCATCACTTGTTCTGATTCTTTCCACCAGTCCTGAACTTGGACTCATCAATCTCAACACCTTCCTCCTCAGCACGTTCTCCTCCTGACTTATCCATAGTGCTCAACCCACCTTTACGTCCCATTTCCTGATACCCTTCTGTCCCAATCTGCTCCTTCCTTGTCTGCCCTCCCCTGCTCCTTCCTTCAGCAAGATGCTCCTGAGCTTCAAGGCTCTTCCCTCCGGTACCACCAGGAACAACGGTCTCTCCTTGCTTTGCCTTTTCATCAAGCTCCTTTCGGTTTTGTTGTTGAGATGCCATTTTTTGGACTCGTTGATTATGTTGTTTAGTGTAACTTTTGTAATCAGTATTCGAAGCTATGTGATTAAAATGAAGGTTTATAGGGTTTATATAAGATAGTAAAGTTGATAAATTAATTAAATAATTAGTATTGCATGATTAATATTTTAAGAGTGGTAAATATGTGAGAAATAACTAGAAGATGACAACAGGTAAATAATGAACAGTAGAAGTGGTTTTGAAGTGACAAGTGTAACATTTGCGTGGCTAAGATAGGAGCAAGACACGCATGTTTTTGGAACTATCTTAATGACACGTAGGAACCCGGTTGCGGCTCTCTCACAAGTGTTATTGCGAGTTTTTAATTTGCCGTTCTCTCACAAATGTTATTGTGTTATAATAATTAAGAAAATTATTATTATTATTATTATTATTATTATTATTATTATTATTATTATTATTATTATTATAATTATTATTATTATTATTATTATTAAGAAAATTATTATTATTATTATTATTAAGAAAATTATTATTATTATTATTATTAAGAAAATTATTATTATTATTATTATTATTATTATTATTATTATTATTATTAAGAAAATTATTATTATTATTATTATTATTATTATTATTATTATTATTATTATTATTATTATTATCATCATCATCATCATCATCATCCTGCAGATCTTTGTATTCTGTCTCTGTCACAATTGTTCCACCAATCCTATCAATGGATTTAGTCACATTATTAAAGTCTCCAATAAACATCCAAGCTCCCTGTTGCTGAATATTAGCAATGTCTTTTCATAACTGTCTTCTCTGATCAAGCTTATTAAGGGCGTATATGGTTGTCAACCAGAACCCGAGCTTACCTTGTCTATCATAAATACCATAATGTATCATCTGACTCGTGCAGCTAAGGATTTTGAGATCAATAACAAGGGGATTCCATTGAATCTAGATTCTCCCATTTTCGTGGCAACTATAATTATCAGCATACTCCCCACCTAAGTTAAGCTTATTCCTAATAACCACAACGTTATCCCTTTTAACTCTAGTTTCAATCCTAATGTTAATGTTTGCCTTAAGCCCTAGGAGACGGGAGCGAATCTCTATGAGCTTACCAGCTTTATTGAGCCCCTTGATATTCCAAGCAACAATCATTGGCCCGAAATTTGCAGCTCTAGGAGGTCATTCAAAACCCCTAGGGCGTCAAACCCATTCTCACACAACAAATCTTTAGGCTGGCTATCCTTTACAATCCCCTTACCTTTGTCACGAACACAGTTGTTGATGGATGTTCAACCCTCCTTTGTTTGCTGGACTTATTGCTCATTTGTTGGCCCCGAAGAGGGTGCTTTTCTGGGACTAGTGACCAGGCTTCTATTTTCAGGGGGCTTAGGCTTGGGTTTCCACTGCTTCTCTTTAGGTTTAGACATATCACATTTATGGTCTGCTACCTGACATTTATCACAGTAAGTTGGCTTCCATTCATACTCAACCTTCTGCATCATCCTCTTGCCCTCCTTATCCCTGATAGTTATCTCTTTTGGGCAACTCCTTAGTAATATCTACTTCTACTAATATCCTCGCGTATGATATTCGCAATCGATCCGCTGTGCATTCATCCGTTACCACCGGGTTCCCCAGGGCGTTGCCAATTTTGTTGAGGCTTTTTCCACCCCACAAGTACAGGGGAAGTAGAGGGAGCTTCACCCAGATTGGGAGTGTGCGAAGTATATCGTTCTTCATATTGAAATCAGGCCTCCATTCACGAAGGAGCATTGGCATATTCCTTATGGTATAAGGGCCATTCATCAGGACTTCATCTCTCTCTCTCTCTCTCTCTCTCTCTCTCTCTTAAGGATTTAAATTCCAGGAGGAAATACCCCTCCTCATGATAGAACATGTATGGAAATTGGACAAAATTCCACATCTTCGTCATGAAATGTTTCACCGTGTTCATACTTAAATCACCCCTTAAAACATACATTATCAGGGAGGATTCCCAAAATCTAATTTCAGAGATTGTGTCTTCCTCTTCGATAGCAACTTCAATCTCACCATTAACAATGGAAGGTGCTACATACTCCATCACCCTCCCCCTTACTGGATTCCTATTTTCCGTCAAGATGTCCACCCATAACTTCTGTTGAGAATCTTCCACAATTGGGGCTTTTAGGGTTCATGTTGCTTCTGTAACCTCTGTAAATTGTACTACAGAGGGATTCGCTGCTTGAGAATTATCACCAGGATCCAACGGAGTTGTTTCTACACCTGAGCATCACGGTTGCACGGAGACGGAGGCACCGGCTTTTTCGGCCACCCTCGTCCTTTCCTTGAAGCCATTGATTATTATTATTATTATTATTATTAAGAAAATAATAATAATAATTATTATTATTATTGTTATTATTATTATTATAATTAATAAAAATAAAAATAAAAATAAAAATAATTATTATTATAATTAATAAAAATAATAATAATAATAATAATAATTTGTTATTATTATTATTATTATTATTATTATTATTATAATTAAGAAAAATAATAATAATAGTAATAATTATTTATTATTATTATTATTATTATTATTATTATTATTATTATTATTATTTTATTATTATTATTTAGAAATATTTATGTAAATTGTCTAATTTAAAATATGAATGATAAATTATTATCGGTGATGTATAATTTGGTAAAGATAGAATAATAATATCAATTATTTATTTAGTATAACAGAAATATTTTTGTTAGTATAAGTTTTTTTTATGGGAACACAATTTCAATTAAGAAAAACCAGAACCAATTACAAATGGCTCCCTAGTAGGATAACCACCAATTCAATGTTTGGATCCATACATATGTCTTAAACCAACATTAAAATCTCTAGTCAAAAAACATAAAGAGTCTATTTTAAAATTCCCAAGAAGCCTCCTGTAATCCCCAGCAATAGGATCAATAGCCGTTATCAAAGTCAAAGAGTTGATACAATCCACCACTGTTTTAGCATCGCATTGTACCATGATATTCTCAAGCTTGAGCTCCTTTGAAATAGAGAGACACCATCTAAGTGCCATCATTTAAGCTAGCTTCAGAGAACCAATGAGCAAATCATTTTTAGAAGCTGCGAAAATGGTTCTAGCTATTTGGTTTTTCAAAATGCAGCCAAAAGAAACTGAACCATCCGGGAAAACCCCCGCATCAACTTGAGCAATCGTCACATCAGCAGGACACTTCAATTCTAAACCATAGATCTGAGTCTTTTTCTTGCCACCTACCTCGGGATTGCGAATTCTAAATTCCTCAATAGTCAGCAACCCATTATCGGCCACCACCATTGGGAGAGAGAACTTTTGTTGATACAACAGCTGGTTTCTGGCCAACCACACCTTATGAAGCATCGTGGGCAAAAGCTGACTGCTTCTCAGGTCACCATAAGACAATAGACTGCAAATCCATTCACATAAATCCACATTGTGGGGAATGCGATAACTAAGAATAGACGAGAAGAAAACTTGCCGAACAAAAACACATTCCATAAAAAATGGTGAGCAGATTCAAATGTAGAATTACAAAAGGAATACGAAGTATCTGTTAGAATTAATTTAGATTTAATTAGATATTAATTTATATTTAGGAATATCTTTTAGATTGTTTATATCTTTGTTAGAAGATATATATCTTAGATCTTCTTATATCTGTGTAGAAGATATATTTTAGATTTAATTTGAATGTATAAATAGCCTAGTGAAGTAGGTTATTGTAATTCATTGTAAATCCTTATTTTTGAAGCTATTAGTAAATATTCCTTTTGACTTTTATCTTCTTTGTGCTCCAAAAATTGGTATCTAGAGCTTCTGGTTAGAAACTCTGGAATTTGAGAAACATTGATTTTTCATTTAGTTTCTGCGTAAATTGCACAAGGTAGAAGATGAACGGAAACAACGATATTCATTCCAAGTTTCTAGTATTTGATGGCAAAAACTGGAATCGTTGGAAGATCCAGATGCGCGTGTTATTTGGTTCTCAAGATGTGTTAGATCTTATTACTGATGGCTATAACCTGTTAGAAGCAGATGCAACAGAGGACCAGAAGATAGCACAAGAGGTGCTGAGGAAGAAAGATCGGAAAGCGTTGTTCTACATCCATCAATGTGTGAATGTGAATGTGTTTGAGAAGATTGTTGATTCTGAAACAACAAAGGCTGCGTGGGACACATTGGTCAGATGTTACGGTGGTGACGCATCAGTGAAGAAGGTGAAGCTTCAGTCTCTCAGAAAGCAATATGATAATCTCAACATGAAGGACAACGAGAAGGTTTCTGAGTACATCTCTAGAGTGATTCTGATCACTAATGAGATGAAAGCTTGTGGAGAAACTCTGTCTGAACAAGTAATTATTGAGAAGATCTTGAGATCTTTAACTTCTCAGTTTGATTACATTGTTGTAGCAATTGAACATTCCAAAGATTTGAGCACCATGAGAGTTGAAGAGCTGCAAAGTAGTCTTGAGGCGCATGAGTTGCGTATGACTGCAAGAACTTCTGAGAGGGAAGTAGAGCAGCAGGCTCTGAAAGTAACTTCTGGTAAGAAGCATCAGAAGCAGACTTGGTCAGAAGCCAGGAAGAGAACTAATAGTGGTCAAAAGTCAGAAGCTTCAAACTCTGATAGGCAGAAGAATGTCCAGAAGGGAAAGGAGAAGTCTGACAAGAAGAATGTTCAATGTTACTGTTGTAAGAACTTTGGTCACTATGCTAGAGATTGCTGGTCCAACAAAGAAAGAAAGTCAGAAGAAGCAAATATAGCAAGAGGAGACTCTGATGAATTTGTTCTATTGTTGGCTTATGAACCTGATGGTCTGAATTCATCAAAATGGTGGTATATGGACACAGGGTGTTCAAACCATCTTACTGGAAACAAGAAGTGGTTGGTTGACTTTGACTCTGGGAAGAGTACAAAGATCAGATGTGCTGATGACAAATACCTCAATACAAAAGGCATGG